GGTGACATCTGAGCAAAGACTGAAAAAGAAGTGAACCATGTGGATGGAGATCTGGGGAAGAGGATTCTGGGAAGAGGGCGTGGCCAATGCCAACCTCTAGGGCTGGACAGCAGGGATGGAGAGATGCCACAGAGAGAAAGTTACCAGGAGGTATGGCCAAGGAGTTGAAGCAACTTAGGGGTTGGAGGGCCAGGCATGGAGGGCTTCGTTCTGTCCTAGCAACTTGGAATTTCTCTTAAATGTGAAGCCACTGTAGGCTCTGAGCAGGGATGATGTGCTCTGATTTACGAGAACTGAGAGAGGCAAATACAATACAAAGATTTTAATTTTAAAGAAACACTGAGTTAATTTAAAGAACTTAAGAGCTCATGAATTAGGTTACAATTTGTTCTGAAGTAGCAGTAGGACCAATGCTGCTGTTTTAGCTACTGATCTTTCATTTAGGTCTCTGTCCAAATATCACCTCCTCCAGAGATCCTCCATGATCGCATTTACCTAAAATCATCATTCTCCCTCTGAGTTTGTCTCTTTAGCTGGCTGCTTTATTTTCTTACACAGTGTTTGTCACTCCTTGACAATATATCACATGCTTGTTTAATTATTCCTGTAGTAGCATGTGAACTCCTCGAAGGTGAGGATTTCACTGTTTTGGTTATCACTTTAGCTCAACACCAATTTGCTGAATGAACCAATGAATGTCCCAGGGGCTTAGGTGAATCCTTGAGTTTTAGTTCACAAACAAATAGGCCATGAGATTGGGGGATAAACAGTTAAAAATAAACTGTCCATCAAATTATAGATTATGTTCCACCATTGATTTAGCATTTTTATATTTAATGTTTGAACCTCACCCCACTGCTATATAAGTATTCTGGAAAATTTAGAAAATGGGAGAAAAACAATTTATAATTTTATGCTCCTATACACATCACGACTAACATAATTAAAAATTTTTTTATTATATAGTTTTCAAAGATAGCCACATTCTTACATGGTCTCAGTACATTCAAATATAAAATGATTTTCTCTGGTTTTCAAACTTTAACCTAAAGCTCCTTTGGACTCTAAATTTATGGGATCTTTTTGTGTAAACCAATTAAAAATTACAAGCCACTGAGTAGCGTATGCTCCCCACTTCTGACATATTGTATTAAGTGAGGAATTCCTGTACTAGCTGCTATAGACACTTGGGATAACACTGCCTCTTCAACCTGAGCTCTCATTTTGCCGGATTTGAATTTATGGCCCGGTTTGGGACTTGAACCTGCTGAGAAAAATATCAAGAACCGAGGAGCTCTAGCAGAGAAATAAAACCTCATTAATTCTGAGTTCACCCTGCTGCCCCCAAAGTGACAAATTTCAAATCACTACAGTGTATTTTTATCCTTTCTATGAACTAATGGGTATTACTAAGCAAAATCAATAATGCGAGGAAGTTGGAAGAGAAAAGCTTATCTACCAAAGTTAAACTGCTTTCTACCATGTTAGCACAAAACAACGTGATTGCAGCGTAAGGAGGGGGCCTTGCAGCTGCGCTCGGTGGCCGGCTGACACAGGAGTGACAAGTCAGTGGGCAGCTGTCAGGGACCACACATCTCTGGTGGACACCATTCTGCTGCCAGGTGACTAGAGTCACATTTGCTAACACAAGAGGTGGTGCATAAAGAGGAATTGCCAGCCAGGCATATGGAATGGCTTCTCCAAATCTAGGAAATTTATCTTTGAAATGAACAATTTGATAAATGATTAAGGTCTCTTTGCCACTTGCTGTTCACTCAGGGTGTGCAATAATTTAATTTGTTTTACCCATAAGAATCCCAGATACAGTGAGGTGAATGATGTCGTAGAAAGAAAAGAATGAATGATAGGAAAGCAACCCATTTGGAGACTGAGGGGAGGCAGGTTGGAGGTGTGAGAAAGACATTAAACCAGGTCTCAGGGGGCTGGGTTCTCCTCGGCCACTGACATTGGTAACCATTAATCTTTATTGTAGAAAGTATTACATAGGTCCTCCTACCCCCCCACATTAACTTCCTCCAGCCCACTCCTATCTCCCCGCTCCCAGGCCCTCGCCACCCCGTTGTCTGTGTCCACGGGTTATGCATATATGCATTTAAGTTCTTTGGTTGATATCTTCCCACCCACCCTCCCCTGCCTTCCCTCTGAGGTTCAACAGTCTGTTCATGCTTCTGTGGCTCTGGGTCTATTTTTGATCATAAGTTTATTTGGTTCATTAGATTCCATATCTGAGTGAGATCATGTGATACTTATCTCTCTCTGACTGGCTTATTTTGCTCAGCATAATACTCTCCGGGTCCATCCATGCTGTTGCAAATGGTAAGAGTTCTTTCTTTTTTATTGCTGTGTAGTATTCCATTGTGTAAATGTACCATAGTTTTTTTATCCACTCATCTGCTGTTGGGCACTTAGGCTGTTTCCAAGTCTTAGCTATTGTAAATTGTGCTGCTATGAACATAGGGGTGCGATATCACCTCACACCTGTCAGAATGGCTATCATCAACAAATCAACCAACGGCAAGTGTTGGTGAGGTGTGGAGAAAAGGAAACCCTAATATAATGCTGACAGTAATACAGACTGGTGCAGCCACTGTGGAGTTTCCTCAAGAAATTAAAAATGGAACTCCCATTTGACCCAATCATCCCACTTCTAGGACTATATCCTAAGAAATCAGAAACACTCATTGGTAAGACCATCGTGAGAGATCTCTCACCTCAGATAAAAGGGGACAATGATGTTCCCTCCTAACTTTTGGGCCTACTGACCTAGGGTAAGGCATGTAAAGAATTTTTAAAAATGCCAATAATGATAATAATGATGAGACTACTACTGATAATGGTATGGTAACAATTTCTTGAGAATTTATGGAATGATAGCTACGATTCTAACTTTACATGTTGTTATGGACTGAATTGTGTCACAGCCCCACCCAAGAATCATATATTTTTAAAATTTTCTTTTTAGTATATTTTTATTTATTTCAGAGAGGAAGGGAGAAAGAGAGAGAGATAGAAACATCAATGATGAGAGGGAATCATTGATCGGCTGCCTCTTGCAAGCCCCCTACTGGGGATCAAGCCAGCAACCCAAGCATGTGCCCTTGATCAGACTGAATGTGGGACCCTTCAGTTTGCAGGCCGATGCTTTATCCACTGAGCCTGGCCTGCGCCCTCTTGCTGTCTGGGACCGCTTGGGGGATGTCTGCCTGCCGGCTTAGGGGATCAGGCCTAAGCTAGCAGGCAGACATCCGTCTCGCAGTCTGGGGCTCTTGCAGTCTGGGATCCCTTGCTCCTTACTGCCCACTGGCAGTGGAGGTGGGAGAGGCTCCCATCACTGCTGCTGTGCTCGCCAGCCATGAGCTTGGCTTGTGGCTGAGCAGCGCTCCCCCTGTGGGAGTGCACTGACCACAAGGGGTCAGCTCCTGCGTTGAGCATCTGCCCCCTGGTAGTCAGTGCATGTCATAGCAACCAGTTGTTCCTCCAGTCTGTTTGGTCAATTTGCATATTAGGGTTTTATTATATAGGATCATACCTGTAGTTAGGCACCTACCATCTCTCCTAGGGAGTGAATATGAGGAAAGGAGTTTGGAATGAAGCATGAAGACTTAAGGTCGGTATGAGAAAGGCTTTGGGGCTTTGTACAGAAAGCAAGACATTGGAGAAAAGTGACAAAATTATGGATTCTCTTTCCCTGGAAAGCTTACTCAATCAGAGAAGCTGTGCTTGGGTGTGGCCTTCCTCAGAAGCAGGATAAACTGGCTCCCCATAGGGATTCCTTGGCCCAGGGGGCTCTGAGGATTATAGAAGGTCATTTGAAATAGTACGACTTCACATCCTGCCTCTAGATCCCCTGCCATGAAGCAGGGCCAGAGCGGTGCCTCTTCCTGCTTGTCCCATTTCTTGGCAGCACGTTGTGCCAAGAGAAATACTCAAACAGCGCCACCGGGAAGACCCATAACAGGAACGGGTGAGTGAAATGCACCAGGGGAGTAGGGACCGACTCACTGAAAAGAGATGGCGCCAGAGAGAGGCACCGCAGGTGGAAACACACCTGCCTTTCTGAACTGAACACAAACGAGGCCTGCAGAAGACCTACAACAGGCTGTGTTGTCAGAACTACAGGATCACCCTTGTTATCAAGATGGATCTTTAGAGCAGACTATGTGCTCTAATAATACGGCCCATCAAATAACACTAGCCCGGAGTAAGAAGATGTGAAACAGACAATTACAAGATTGGAACCAGCAGCCTGTCATTTCACTTAAAGCTTTCAGTGATGTGTGGCCCTGGGAGAGAAGAGAGAGTGCAACTCAAAATAGCAAAACTCTTAGAAAAAAGGAGTGAAGAATAGTTACTATACTGTGTGAACCACTCCATGCATTTGATTCAAAGGCAGTAATCCAATAAGCCAAAGACACGCAGTATTCATTGGCAAACACTTGTGGACACATTCACAGAACACCAGAATCGCTGTAACTATTGGCTTTTGAAGTATCACATATGCACAGTTATACTTGATAACTTTACTCACTTTGATTTCTCCTATTGTGGGAAAGTGGACTGTCCAGAAAAATCTGTTAGGGAAATTCTAGATGCTGGGGATTTCTGACACTTATCCGACACTGGGAACCCCAGTGTCTGAAAGAGCTTAAGCAATTAAATTCATGCCAGCTGTGTGTATTCGAACACCAGCAGGCTCACAAGCAGTACCCGCATCATTCCTGGAGCCATGTCGTTTTTCTTAGCATCCTGTGGTTTGATTCCAATGTTGAGAACAAGGGAGCTTGTGTCCCCGCCTCCTATAATGCTGTCAGCTTTATCACCGTCTGCCACATTCTCTTTTCTCTCCAAAACTGTCTGGAGTTTTACAGGTTCAAACCCTGATAAAGTGACGCAGAAAACGGTATCCAACTCCGAGAAACACGCACCCAGACTCCATGCACGCCTTCCCAGCCCGTGGAGGGTGGACCAGTTCCCCTTACCTTTGTCATAAATTTCCTTCAAGACTCCTCGTTTTATCAGCTCCTCTCTGCTTTGCCTCATGGATATTTTCCTTTCCAGCGCTGCAAGCAAAACACAAACAGAGAAGCGGTTGTGAATAGGCAACAAAAACGGTTTTCAAAGGAATCATATTTCAACATATTGAAATGTAATGTATGGGAAAGTTTGTGTAAATTCTACTTTACTAGTAAAAAGTTAATGATATCAGCTAACATTATAATGATACTATGATCAGCATTTTAATCAGACATTTCACTTACTTTTTAAAACGATCTTCAAATTACCTATGAGGTAGGCATTATTTCATTTTACTGAATCCTGATTTACGGTTGAGGAAACTGTAGCAGAGAGAAGCTCAACCACCTGTCAATCACAAGGTCACTGAGAAGAGGAACCAGGATTCAAATCAGAAACACTACCTCTGATCTCAGTTTAACCTCTGCCTCACAGTGTGTTTCCTGAGTGTGGTATTTTTTCATAGCTGGGATTTCTTTCTTAAAGCTCTAGTTCATGTAGATCTGGCCTCACTGAGGAGTTTTTGCTCCCTGGCTATTACAAAAATGGTATGAAATTATTTCCTAGTGAGCTCTTTGGATGGAGAGACAGAGGACTACTGCTGTCCTCTCTACCCTCCAAGTTGGAGCCCCTGAGTGAGGAATGAACTGTTCAATCACCAAAATGCACCCCCCCTCACTGGAACCCAAAAGCTCCAGCAGGTGGGAACTGACGGTGGGAAAGGGAGATTTCCTCTTGAATCAGTGGGCATGATAGAGGGCAATTCAAGTGGAAAGAGAACACAGAAGTGGAGCAGTGAGGGGCAGCACTAAAGGCAGGCCTAGGGCCCAGCTGGGCGGGGCAGGGAGCAGCCCATAAGAAAGCCATTCCAGCAGCTGACACTGCGGTTCTGGGTGAATACCCAGTGCAGGGAAGGCAGGTGATTTTGGTTGCTTTTCTCAGTTTGAGAATATCCACATCATTTCAATACACAGTTATTCAGGAGAAAAGCCAGCTATAAAACAAGGAAACTATTTTATGTAGACAAATTCAGATACAGACTAGTCTCTCTGTCTCTCTCTCTCCTTCCCTCTTACACACACACACAGTATAATTTAGTGCAAATAATACCAATAAGAACTAGGAAGCCAGCAAGGGAACAGGGACTGCGATTCTATCTCGGATACCCACGGGCTGTGACCTTAGGCCACTCTGCGGGTCTGGGATGTGCTCAGCCCCAGCTACTCTGATGCAAAAGGCTCAGGTGGGACCTGGACATCTGTATTGTAACAGAAAGCTCTCTGGGCTATTCTCAGACATATCAAGACTGAAAATCACTGATGGTGTATTTTGGGACTTACTATTTTTAAAAAGTTATGTTCTAACTCTTTCTGTTAACTTACAATGAATTAAGGGGTACAAGACAGAAAAAGAAATGTAAGGTTAGGCTACACTTGTACATAGCTTACTGAGAACATAATAATAAAACAGATACATATAGACATATACCCACAGAGGTGAGGGCAGGAGGGTTGTACGGGAGGACAAGCATCAGCGGTGGGGTGTAGGGACCCTGGAGCAGTGTTGATTTGGGGGTGATGGAGGAGTTTTATGACCCATACCCAATGGCATGCTACCCGGTGGCAGGAGAGCAGAAAGATGTTCCTTATGCAGAAGAGGAACAACCAGAGAAGGGAAAGAGAACGGCCTCCAGCTAGGTTAGAAAGTCCTGCCTGCTTTAAAAAGACTGGCTGCGGCACAGTGGGAAAAGAGAGCAAGGGGAGACGGGTGGGGGTGGGGGTAGGGGGTGAGGTTGGTGCGTTAAGCAAGAAGTTTGTTGCCAGGTCTTGTGGGTGACACAAAGATGCGCTTTGCCACCCTGTACTGAACCACATACATTGAACAGATTTCTCTTGAACAGAATGGGGCTTCCCGGGGCTTTTCAAAACCACAGAATAAAGTGGATGGACTGGATCCACAGTGCTGAACAGAGTACCTGCAGCAAGAGGGGCAGGCCCTGGGCATGGAGTTCCCAGGCTGCAAGTATCCGTAGAACACAGACGGCCTCGGGCACACACTGGGCCGTCAGTCCCTCAGCTGTCTCACCGCACTCACTCAGCAACAGGGACCTGCTGCCGGTTGAGAAAGCACGCTGCTAGGTCCGGAGAGATGGTGACAAAGGGACAGTCCCTAC